TTTGTTTCTTGAGTGATAATGTAATAAACATGTACCACAAGAAAGAAGAATAAGAAATTCAAACTTTTTACTATGATACTTACAGATATTCACATAACTTGTGACTCAGTCATTACAAGATATTGTTATAAAAAGGAAACACTGTATAGTATTGTAAAATTCTGATGGCCTATTGAGGAGATATTTAAAATACCATTTCGATTAACAATCCAAGCCATCCCTACACAGGCAGTTCCACCGCTTGCCTGATAGTCCTTAGGTTGCACTTCCAGTTTTTTATGATAATTACACAGTACATTGGCTATCAACCAAAGAGATGCAGCGTTTGTTGTGTGAAATTTAAGTATCTCAATTATCTTTATGCATATTATGAGTAAACGTGTTCAAACAATATATAAAGTGTAATGAAATTCTAAGGACATGTTAAAATATAAATCTTACAGAAGAACATTATTTCTTTTGTTTAGAATTACACGTTAAATTTTTCTCGAAAATTGTATATCAGCATTGCTCAATCCTTCAAACAGATGGCGGTACTTTACGAGCTTAGTTTATTATATAACATATAATAAAATTAATACTGAACATCAATATTATGCATCTGTAATACAAATAGGAAAAGGTTAATGAAAATAATTGATTCAGAGTTTTACTAATAAATTATTCGCTCAATAAAGTATGAATATTAAAAGAATATGTCCCTCAATTTTACGAGAATATTAATAATAACGTTTCAATTTTAACAATTTAGCCTATAGCGCTTTACAATTATTTTCATTTCTTTGACATTAAAGCTTCTTACACTTTTAGAATGTAAAATTAAACAGTATTTTTACTCGGTAATTTATAGGCATATCATAAACACTATATACATATAGTTATCTTCTTGTTGTCAAAAGTCCACTTAGGCCAATTCGATTGCTTTAGAATTGGAGTTGACAAGCTGAACTATATTCTCTATTACTATCACTAGTATTCTTTGTGTGATTCACTTACAATTGTGGCGTGATTTACCGTAATTGTTTGGTTTTCTTTCTTCAAAATATCCTTTGTTCCTTTTGTCAAAGTGCACTCAGGCTGATTCAATTACTTTAGAACCACGCTTTGACGGAATAAATTCTTCTTCTTATCTCTTTTTCTACTGTTACTCTAATGTTGCGTCAGCGAGGTCACGTGACTAGTATCACGCCACGTACTTCTCGAACCTTCGTGAATTATCGGGAGACTACTAGATTGGGGTAGTCTGGTATATATAAGATGGTCACAACGTGACGAAACAATGAGTAATTGAACTGCAGTCAGAGAGTGTGTAATTGAACTGAGTATTGTCGAGCACGAGCACGTGAGACGTTCTAGCGTTTGTTATAGAGCGACTGTTGAAATTAAGTGTATCGGTAAAGTTGTATTCGGAAAGAATAAACCAGCTTTATTTAAGAAAGGACTTGTGTCGCTAAAGTTTCGTTGGAACGAATTTACGGAAAATTAATTAACGAACGGAGACGTAACAATATTTGTTGATAATAGAATTAGCACAAAGGATCACATATAAAGTGTGATAAACCTAAAATAAGACCCAAAACTC